TTTTTGAAAAAAATTCACAATTCGCAACGTTTTACATTGCAAAGACACCAGATACTAATAAAAAAGATTTTTTATTTACGATTCCTGATAACACAAGTACAGGGTGATTCACTATATTTTGACCACCCATTAACTTTTTTGTTTTAAGAGTTATAAAAAATTATGTGAAATACAAAAGTTACACGATTTTTTATGAAATTTTCGAAAATGATCCATCCAAATATGTAAAAACATACAGGCTGTTCCATTTAAATTAACAAAGTTAACATCCCCGACCATTTTGTTTGACCTTCATTTGTTTTTCTATTATCATTTTCGAAAACTTCATAAAAAATCGTGCAACTTTTGTATTTCACACTTTTTTATAACTTAAAACAAAAAAGTTAATGGGGGGGTCAAAATATAGTGAATCACCCTGTACACAGGTATTGTATTTTTGAAACTGAGAGAGTTACACGAAACTAAATTTGTACAGGACATAGCTAATACGATGCGAAACATCGCCTTAATGTTAAATATGTTGTCACCGCCGTTCTTGGTGATGAAAATTCGAAATATTTGGAATTATCCAAATTTCGTGGCTGAAAACATACGTAGGTATCGTATTTTTGAAACCGAGAGAGTTGCACGAAACTAAATTTGTACAGGACATAGTTAATACAATGCGAAACATCGCCTTAATGTTAAAAATGTTGTCACCGCCGTTCTTGGTTCTTGGCTATCAATCACCAAATTTGCATCATGCTCAAGTTAATAGTTTAGAGACTGTAAATAAAAACAACTTTTTAATTTTCAACATTCGTGGGCCCGTAACTTGTTAACGAAGGTCCATATGAAGAACTGACCTCATCTATTTGTACTCGACTTTTTTTGTACCAAGTACCGAGACACACTGTATATCTGTAAACTTAAAAAACGATTTTGAAAATAATTTTCCTCTGCAAACACATTTTAAAAATATGATTGTTGCTGCCATAACGAATATGCTGCGTTCTATTTATCATTATAAAATCGTTTATTTTTTTTTAGTGTTGTTTATATGTTTTTTAACATCTATCACATCTATAATTAAAAACGTTGTATAAACGTTTTAGTAATGTTTCTATCAACATTTTTGTGTATAAAAAATGTACCGACAGAGAAAAACGTTTGATTTTTTATTGCTAGTACTCAGTGTAATAATTTATGCACTCACATTGTTTCATTTCATTCGCCATATTAAGAAGTAAACGTATACAGGCTGTTACAAATTCGCTTCTCACTACAGGGATATCGAAAACTGTAAGAGATACAAACTAGGATCAGGATTCCAGGACCATCATCAACTTCATTTTTTTAAATACGACCCTAGAAATTTTATTACATTTTTTGCAAGCCTTCATAACCCCCAATACTGTACTGCCTCAGCCAGAACCAGATTCAGACGTTTTGTCTCGAAAAATTCATCTTCAGTGTATTCGTTCCAAATTTATCTAAATTTTTTATATAGATTTCTTTGTTTATTGAATTATCGTACACTGTAAGTGTCGTTAGACCTTGTGAAATCCATCTAGTTATTTAAACTATTACCACCATGCATTAAAATAAAAAATTATTATTAGTTTTATTCCCGCGTCCATAGTTACCCATTTCTAGGCTTCTTGAGTGCTCAAAATATTAAAAGTTAAGTTCCTGTTTTAAGAGATTCATAATTACTAAAATTCGAGCCAAAATTTAAGCACAACACTATCTTCATACTACAAAATCGATAAATTTTATTTTATTTATTAAAAAACTGGAAAACAATTGTCTTGAAATTTACTAAATGTTTCACAATAATAGTTGTTTACATTTTTTCCGTAGGATAAGTCTGCCGCGTGCACACGTGGTATGCACCAGCTGTGAAGCGTTAGGTTAAGCGCTGTTGCCACGTTGCGATGAAACTCCCCAATATTACTACTCGCTGTATTTTGAAAACTGTTCCTGATCATGCAACTTTGCCCCCATTTAAGCTACTTCGTATCTCTTACCGTTTCCGAGATCCCTGTATGTGAAAAGCGAATTTGTAACAGCCTGTATTTACCGTTTTTTTAAATCAGTGTTTATTGATTTGGATTCGAAAGATAGACTGAAAAGGCACAAAAACATGCCTCGTTAAAGAACATGAAATGAAACTGTGTAACTTTCGAGCGCTGCAAAAATGAAATTTAACGAACCCGTTTTTCTACGATCAAATCAAATGGAAGTAGTATTATAAAATGTAAATTAAACACGTACTCGCAACGGAAAATTGACATTAATGCACACTCCGCTTTTACATCCAGTCAAAAATCCTCGAAAATATCCCTGTTCCATCATTTCGTACTGCGAGTGATATCTTGTTTGTATGCCCTAATTAACAAAATTAGTTGATAAGCACGTATCGCTGTAGTAATTATTATTGGATCCATCTGCCGCCAACTAGGTGTACATACGATTTTATTTATCCAGTAGCGAATGTTTTTAATGGTTGTTTGTAATGAAAAACAAAGGAATCCCGTAAGTATTTCGCTCATTTGTATTTCTAAATAATTATTATATATATTTATCGATCGTTCTATTCTGTCTCTGCATACGACCTACACAATGGTACTGCTACATACAGGGTGCAATAGAAAGTAGTAGATAGTATCTCTTCTAACTTCAAAACGGGCATCTACAACTTGACCAAATTCATCTTACCGCGAGCTTCCGTCGCCTGTTCTTTATACTTTATTTTCTTTCTCCAAAATTTTGGCTAACAAATTTTTGAATTCTCGAATTCTCGTTTTTTAAAGTAATCTTTGTGCTCGTCTTTTGCAGGTTGAGAGGTCTCTCCAGCATAATCTTTATAGCATTGTTAAAAAAAATATTTGTGAAATTAGGAAAAATATTTTCACAGTCCTTAGGGCAAGAAGAAGTTTTATGACAAATTCTTGACATATTTTCGTTTTCTTGTAATGGTGTCAAACCATCAGTTCTGGACCATCGTGCACAAGACCCAGAAAATCAACTATTTGAGTGAAAACTGACCTAAATGTGTGTCAAAATTGATTTTTTCCTAAATTTTGTCCAAATGTATCTATTTCGTAGGCACTGAATACAATGCCTTACTAAAATTTGCCTATGACCTCGATAATTCTCAGAAAATCCATATTTTACCCTGTTTTTACCCAAATAGTGGATACCATATGATTCCAATTTCACTGGATACAGATGATATTGTTTCTGAGAAATATCGAAATCATTTGTAAATTTTACTAAGGCATTGTGTTCAACGCCTACGAAATTTAAATATTTGGACAAAATTTAGGAAAAAATCAATGTTGACACAAATTTAGGCCAGTTTTCTCAGAAATATCGAAATCATGGGTAAATTTTAATAAGCATTGTGTTCAGCTCGCACAAAATTGATATATTTGGACAAAATTTAGGAAAAAATCAATTTTGACATATATTCACTCAATTTTCACTCAAATAGTGGCTTTTTTATGAGAAATATCGGAATCGTGGGTAAATAAAATAAAGCATTATGTTCAGTGCCTACGAAATTGATATATTAGGACAAAATTTAGGAAAAAATCAATTTTGATACATTTAGGTCAGTTTTCACTCTAGTAGTGGATATTCTCAGAAATATCGAAATCATGGGTAAATTTTACTAAGCATTGTGTTCAGCTCCCACAAAATTGATATATTTGGACAAAATTTAGGAAAAAATCAATTCTAACGCAAATTTATGCCAGTTTTCACTCAAATAGTGGATTTTCTGAGAAATATCGAAATCATGGGTAAATTTTACTAAGGCATTGTGTTCAGCGAGTACTAAATTGATATGTTTGGACAAAATTTAGAAAAAAATCAATTCTGACGCAAATTTAGGCCAGTTTTCACTCAAATAGTGGATTTTCTGAGAAATATCGAAGGCATGGGTAAATTTTACTATAGCATTGTGTTTAGCGCCTACGAAATTGATATATTTGGACAAATTTTAGGAAAAAATCAATTTTCATACATATTTAGGCCAGTTTTCACTCAAATAGTGGATTTTCTGAGAAATATCGAAATCATGGGTACATTTTACCCATGTGTTTATTTTACCCCTGTGTGTACAGCATTGTGTTTAGCACCTACGAAAGTTATATATTTGGACAAAATTTAGGAAAAAAATTTATTTTGACACATTTGGGTCAGTTTTCATTTAAATAGTGGATTTTCTGAGAAATATCGAAGTCATGGGTAAATTTTACTAAGACATTGTGTTCAGCGCTTACGAAATTGATATATTTAGACAAAATTTAGGATAAAATCTATTTTGACCCATATTTGAGCCAGTTTTCAGCTAAATAGTGGAGATTTCTGAGAAATATCGAGGTCAAGGGTAAATGTTATTAATGCCATCGTGTTCAGCCTCTCAAAATACATCGAAAACGATATATATGGACGAAATTTAGAAAAAAATCAGTTTTGACCCATATTTGGGTCAGTTTCCACTCAAAAATTTTATTTTTCTCATCGATAAGTTAGAATTTTTACTAAAGGATCATGTTCCTGGCATCGAAATCCTTACGATATGTAGGTCTCTTGAGTTTGGACTTTTTTATGTGCCTGCGTTATTTGTTCAAAATAATCAAAACTTAAAGCATCTTACATTTTTTGTAATTAAAACAGTGGCGTCCTATTGTATTCATAAAAGGAGATTACCTCAGAGTTTCTACGCCATTGGTGATAATGGGAATATTTAAACATTATACCAAAATATCCCATCACAATCAAGAATTATTGTTGCTTTCAAGTAAATAAAAAATAATTTTGAAATCTTTGACATCCTGTATCTCGAAAACGGTGAACATTTAGTTATAGATATATTTGAGCAAATCACATTTATTCTGACTATACCATCACTCCTTGCGAGGATGCCAGTAATACCTGAGACACCCTGTGTATCTGCTAGTAAAGTATTTTTTTTTCTGAAGCACTGATTTATCTTTACTTTGTTGCAGTTTCGCCAATGATTTGGGTGCCGAATCAGTTGGTTGGCGCCCCTGCAGGGACCGACGTGACAATAGACTGCCATACCGAGGCATATCCCAGGGCCATTAGCTACTGGGTATACGACAATGTCATGCTACTCCCGACGAAAAAGTACGGCACCGAAACGATGGAGAACAGCTACCGGGCCCACATGAAACTGACGGTGCGAAACCTACAAGTAGGCGACTTCGGTAACTATCGATGCATCTCCAAGAATTCCCTAGGGGAGACGGAAGGTTCCATTCGCCTATACGGTAAATAAAATATATCTGCTTAACTTACAAGGGAATTTGTCCTTTCGTTTCGTTTTGAATCTGGGGTTCTCATCTCTCTCTTTCGCTGCTAGACGGCTACGGTCCGCCCTGACTGATGTAAACAAAAATACAAGGCTGGTCAAAGTTTGCTTTTTATTATGTACTTCTACTCCGTTTTTACTTATTAATGTCTTACACCTTAAAAATACAATCAGTAATAACCAAAACGTTTTTATGAAAGCTCGATTCACAACAGCGAATTTATTTTATTATACAGGGTGTCGCGCTTAAATGTGATACAAGCCTGTAGTTGCTTCTTTGTTTTTCGACCGGTTTCAAAAATTTTTTTAGAATTCAGAATAAAAAAAACTCCTTCTAACTGTAATGCTGCTGTTTTTATTAATGCAATTCACGGCCAACTAGGACGCGTTTTTTTACGTCGAAACAGCTAATTGGTACTAGCGATTTTTTTTCCAAAAAACATTACCTACGTATTCTCATTCAGCATCTCTTAAAATGTCTTATCACCAAGTTTCATCAAATTCGATACATCTTCAGACAAGCACTAGTTGTACGTGTATTTCATTAATAAATACAGCAATATCACAGTTAGACAGAGTTTTTTTAGCCCACATTCCAAAATAAAAATTTTTGAAATCGACCAAAAAATAAAGAAGTTACAGAAGTTATCACATTTAAGCGCGACACTCTGTACACTGTGTTCATTCATATTTTTTTCCAGTTGAAATTTTAAAAAATCGCTGAAACAGGTCAATTAGTAAATAGAAATGTCAAAAAAAGCTTTAAAGTAAGTAGAAAAAGATTAATTAAGAGTAGGTACGATTTTTATAGTACAGAATGATTGTTTGAAATAGTCGTCAGTACGACATAAAACACAATTTTTTACATTTTTTTGACAACTACGACAAAAAATACCTACTTTTTTGTACCTTTTATCGATGAATTTGTCTTTAGAAGGGCTATCTATTTATACTATAAAATATAGAGCGTCCTATTAAAAAATGTCGATAATGTTATAGGTCTGTCAAACATGGCTCGATAAAATAGAAAATATTGCAGAAAAGTTTCAGGAATTTTTTAAAATCTGACCGGGAAAAAATATGAATTTTGTTCATTATTTTGGGAGACAGTGTATATTACTGTATATTACAATACTACTAAAAAAATTTAGTTTAACTTAAGATCATCGAAAATTCAGTATCGTGGTTTTACATCGACCGAAATTGTTGTTGTTGCTTCCAGAATACCTCAGGGTTCAGTTCTTGGCCCGTTATTATTCAATATGTTCATTAATGACATTTATGACAATCTTCTAACTTATATTCTCTTATACATGTTAATTTTAGATGATTATAACGTTCCTTACATTTCAAACCCCCATAATCTCCGTATGTAGTTTTTTAATATAACTCCAAAGAATCAGGTTCTAAATCAAAATCATAAAATTCTATATTTTATTTGTAGCAACTTCGTTTATTATGTTTCTGGAACGAATGATCCTCATTTGAAACAAGGATGGTCATCATCCTGCACTTACAGTCGCATCTACTTCAGTCCACCAATGATTATGTGTTTCCGTTGGTAAACAGTGGTTTTACATAGACCGAAACTGTTGCTACCTTTTAAGTACCTCAGGGATCAGTTCTTACCCCGTTATTATTCAATATGTTCATTAATACGTCTATGACAATCTTTCAACTAATGCTCCCTTATATGGTTACCGAATTATACTAGTTATATCCCGTAGGATATCAGATATACAAAAATATAAGAAACAGACCTTTATACCTTGTGTCTCAGAAACGGTAAATGTCGCCTCATCTATTACATAAACATAAGGCATAAGGTCTACTTGATTGGCACATTGCCGTAAAAACCATCTGCAAAAACGCATTCGTTACTCACAATCCGGGGGTAAAATCTGTTGAACTAGTTCCAGATGATAGGGGTGCAACAGCTGGCGCCTTAAGATGCGATGTACGGTACGAGATGAGGTTCCTACTGGCTGTGCAAGCCGTCGAGTACTAATTGTGGGATCTTCGACAAGATTTTCCAACACTGCATCTTCGACATTAAGGTTCACTTGCTGACCACGTCCTTCTCCTCGAGGAATAACACTTCCTGTATCTCGCAGCCGCTGAACGCACTGTAGGATTGTATTTGCACATGGGGGGTGACGTTGTGGCCATCGTTCCCGGTACAACCTAGTCGCCGCGAGCGCATTTTCTCCGGCTGCACCATACACGGAAATAGTAAATGCATTGTTTTCTCGGTTCATTGTAAAACTAGTTTGTGCACAAACTAAAAAATTAAGCAAAGTAAGAAATCAGAATCTCGTTTTTAATGTAATCGGCACGCTATTCCTATTTTTCACTTCTTTATAAATTTTACACTGTCACTATCGTGGAATTACAAAATAAAAACTTTTGTCTGGAATCTTTCACTTTTTAACACTGATGGGTCGATAGACGATGCTTAATATTTAATAATTAAATGAATAATGAATTCAATACAAATACAAAATCAGTTGACTGCACAAATTTTTTAACAATAACACAGGGTCGGCCTTCATTTTCGTTGAATAAATGAACTTTGATTTAATTACCAAACGAAAATTTACAAACGTTGCGAGGCATCTAAGGAAGAGTCGACTTAATACCATAACGCACAGTTTTTCTAAGTTCCAATTCCACAATTACACACAACGGCTGCCCTTTTGTATTCTACATTACCACTTTTTCATTTTATTTACTCTCGAGGAACGGCGGCATTGTACCTTTATACAAATTCCTTGCAAGAAAAGTAACTAAAACCATGTCTTGAATAACTGAGCCTCCTTGCTTTAGTGATAGTTGGTATGCTAATTAAGTTTTTTGTTGCGACGACTGAAGAGTCATCAACTCGGCCATTTTCATTGCCGCTTGTAAAATTATAATTTTCTTGCTTCTAGACGGGATCGCTTTACCCTTTCAAGACGGGCCAAGTCGTCAAGTTTTTTATTGCGGTGATATGCAGTTGTTAAATATAATGGCTAACTCTCCTGCAAAAGCGGCGGGAATTCGGTGGTATTGGGGTTTGCGCATTTTCCAGAGTAGATGGACAAAAACTGCGCCATTTTTATAACGCGTTGGTAGAAATGTTCACCCAATTGTTCGCTACAATCTATTCCTTTACGAAAGGTTTCTATGTGAGTCTAGAAATAGTCCTCTATGCAACTAAATTTTTTTAGTATTGGTCTAATCTTAATGTCTCTACGCATAACTTTTTAAACACTTTCATTGAATCTACTTACTTTGATCTTGATACACAATATAAGGTTTGTAATAATAGTGTTCCATCTATCCCTGAGGTTACTAAAGGCAATATTATAAAATCTGTATAGAGTGGAAGCAAATACGATTACGGGGCCAATTTAACAACGTCCCGTGTGCAAGTCGTTGAGTACTAATTGTGGGGTCTTCGTCAAGATTTTCCAACACTGCATCTTCAACATTAAGGTTCACTTGCTGACCACGTCCTTCTCCTCGAGGAATAACACTCCCCGTATCTCGTAGCCGCTGAACACACTATAGGATTGTATTTGCACATGGAGGGTTGACGTTGTGGCCATCGTTCCCGGTACAACCTCCATTTTCTCCGGCTGCACCATACACTAACACCATATCGACACGTTCAGAAATATTAGATGCATTGTTTTCTCGGTTCATTGTAAAACTAGTTTGTTCACAAACTAAAAAATTAGGCAAAGTAAGAAATAAGAATCTCGTTTTTAATGTAATCGGCACGCTATTCTTATTTTTTACTTCTTTATAAAAGTTACACTGTCACTATCGTGGAGTTACAAAATAAAAACTTTTGTCTGGAATCTTGAACTCTTTAACACTAATGTGTCGATGGACGATGCTTAACATTTAATAATCAAATGAATAATGAATTCAATACGAATACAAAATCACAAATTTTTTGACAATGTATTCTAACCTTTTAGTATTACTAGTATTAGATTATACCGACTTAAATTATAAGGTTGCATCTCGGGGCGCATAAATAAATAACACAGGGTCGGCTTTCATTTTCGTTGAATAAATGAACTTTAATTTACAAAAAAAACCGCGAAGGTAGAACTTTTTCGTATAAGACTTTTCTATTACAAATATCATCAGGAAGCTGTAGTTTAATTTTTGTAGATTATACACGCCACACCCTGTATTTTTCTCCTTCTTCAGGAAAAATACGAAGGCTACCTCTTACATTTTTAAACGTTGATTTAAATAGAAAACATATACAGATGCTTAATTTCACACCCCAGCAAAAATTATTATCATATGCAAGTTCGGATTTCCTTAATGAAAACTTGACTTATTAAATTAAAAAATTCACCTAACTTTCGAAACCAATTACAGCGCAAAATAACAATAACTCCACTCCCTATGATTGATGTCGGGCGCGACAGAGTATTGCGAGTGATTAAAATGCGAAGAAATTAGGAAACAAGGGGTTGAACAAACGGAAATTTACCGGAAATTTCTGAACTGAACTAACCGCCAATTTGTATGTGTGAGGTGACAAAGCAATTTTCTTACGCGCACGCAATAATCATTAGACCGGCTCACTTTAAATAAAATAATATTGTTACACGAGTCAAGTTGTTTTGACAAACAAATTTTATAACTTTGTTGTTTTGATGTCGTTCGATCTGCCACAAAGCCTAATTGTTTTTATTAGCTTCAAACGTTATTAGGAAGAGTATAATGACGAAGTACAGCTTAAATTAACTTAAAATGGCGTAAAGAGGGTTTCCTGGGGTTAAACTGACTCCTTTTCAATATACGAGGCGATAGGGTTAAAAAACTTTGAACTTTGTGATTATTTCAAGGATTCACATCTAGAATGGTTCAACTGTGACATTCTTATTGCAATATCTTAATTTTATTTTAAATTTCTCTTGATTTTTGCTAGACTTTCTTCCGAAACGTAATCTAATATATTGAATATCGGAAACGCGTTTCCAAAATCACCCGAAAAATAATTCAGCGACCAAGGAATGTCCTCTCTATCACATTAAACCTATTGTTTAGTTCCAGGAGCGTAAACTTTTTAATAAAGTTTGTATTCTACAACTGAACTTGAGCTATCAATTACCGATACTCATTGTTAAAGGTCAAAAGGTCCATAAAATGTCTTTAACAGATCTATACAGAGTCGTAAGTAGAACATAATATAAAGTTTAGAGTGCAATAGCTCCAAAAGTCCTGAGGCGATGCTAATAAATTCTTGAGAATTATCTAGAATTTGCGGTCACATGCCTCGGCGAAGAGGTTCGGTGACACGTCAAAGAAGGCGTTTTTAGACTATATAAAGACATTATGTTAACTGCTCCACCTCTGTAATAGAAATTGGCGGTGGAACGTTTAAAATGAAAAAGTTATATAAGTTTCTCTTTACATAAGGTATTCATTAAGGCGGTATTAAATGGGGAGAACGGGAAAAAGAAAATTCGGTTTAAATTTATCTCTCCTAGAATTAATATCTGCTACACCTTAAAACGTTTAATTGAAAAATGTAAAAAATACCTTTTGTGACTACAAAAGTACTCTGCTGTTGCAAATCCGACATGTGTGTAAAGTAACACTTTTCCCACTCATGAGTGTCACATTTGGTGCGTTATATATATTTTTACCACGTCCCCTTAAGACAGAACGCGTAACAGTTAACTACAGTAGGCGCGAAAACAATTGCTAATACACTAATTCTAATGACTGCAAATATGTAAGAATAACACGATTTGCTGTTTCATTTTCAATGAATTAATTTAATCGATTCTTCATCATATAGTCCAAAAAATTGCTTAAATCATCGATATCAAAATATTTATTAATATTTAGCCAGTTTGATGCAAGGTGAATTAATAGAATTGGTCTTAGGGGGGTTTGTGAATTTTTGGTAGACCAGCAAAATAAAGAAGCTTTATAAGAAGATTTAGTAACTATTACGTACACGTCCTTTGTTCAAATAAACGTTCTAATGTTATGAGGCGGAGATTATATTTCGAAAATTACGGTGATTAATAAGGGGTTAAAAAAACCCTCTGGAAGCCCAATAAAAATAATAGTAAATAATTTAAATTAAGCCAAAGCTCGTGAGGGTCCGGCAGGGTTTTAACTGATCATATTATATGTATGAATACGTTATTACCCGGCAATCTGGTAAAAATGTGGCGACCTCGCTCTGAAATGTAAACGATTAAATCGCTTTCGGCTATAATACAGCACCCCAATATCGCTTACGGCTCCATTTTTAGATAGTTCGTTTGTAACAATAGAACAATGAAATTAAAATTTTAGAAAATATAAACCGGCCCAAAAAAATTTTACTAAATTATTTCTGCAGCTGTTTAAGCTTAAAAACATATTTCACCCTGTAACAAATCATGTTATGTTGCATCAAATCTGTTTTTATAATTATTATCTGTAGTAGATGTGTTAATATTAGATCTAGCACCTTTTGTTATTTGAGTTAAATTCAGTGATTCGAAAAGTTGGCACGTTTACAGAAAACACTTTGTATAAAATATTTTCTCTAACTTTTCCCATTTCGTATTAGTACAAATTTTAGCAAATCAAGTTTTCCGAAAAATTTTAGGGACTTTTTTATTTTTTTTTCCCCCCTTTCCCGGCTTTGTTAAGTTTTTTCGGCCTTTTTTTATTATTTTTGTTAACCAAATTTTCCTTTTTTTTGTTCCTTTTGGCATTTTTATTTTTATTGTTTATTGGAGGTTGCTTTTATTAGTTTAAATTTGCTTGATCGCCCCCAATTTCCGCTTTGTTGCCTTGCCTGGCAGGGCATTTTTTCAGCATTTGGGTTTCTTTGCCCGTTGGCCCGTTGGGGTTTTTTTCCCGGCGTTTTGCTGGGGGGGGCTTTTTTCACTTGGCGTTTTCCTTTTTTCCCCTTTCCCGTTTTGTTTGGCCCGGCCTTTTTTTTGGTTTTGGTTAATTAATTTTGGGATTAGTTTTTTCAACCTTTTAATTGCGGGTTGGCGGCGGGCCCCCAAAAAAATTTCAAGACCCAGAGGGTAGACCCCCTCTAACCCTCCGTTTTTGGGGTCGCCGAAACCGAAAAATTTTAACTAGCCATTTCCCCGTTACCAGCCCCATACACCACCTTCTGGGAGATGAAATGTCAATTCTCATACAAAGTCGAGTAGGGTGGGTATTCCTATGTTTTCTGAGGCACTAAGAACGAAGAAGACTACCAAAAATGAATAAGACTCCCTCGTTACCCCCTAGCGTCACTTTACCACCCTCGTATACCCCTTTATGGGGGTTGAAGTGTCAATTTTCATACGAAGTCGAGTGGGTTGTGAATGCCTACATTTTCTAGGCCGCTGAAAACAAAGAAGACTACCGAAAATGAATCCAACCCCCTCGTCAACCATCAGCACCCTTTTCCACCCACATACACGCCCTTATGAGGGTTGGAATGGCAATTTTCACACAAAGTCAAGTGGGGTGTGATTCGGGGTAACTTTTGAGACGAATCCCCTCGTCTCTTATAGTTTTTTTCAAAAGTACTTTTTCAAACATAAGTCCCCTCGCCTTTCCGAAATCGAAGTACTTTTTCAACTGTAAATCCCCTCGCCTCCCACGAATCAGGGTGCTATTTCAACGGTAAGTTCCCTCACCCCTCACGATTGTTCAACGGGTGAACCCTCTTATTTCTCACGAACACCCCTTGGAAAGTTGAAAAAGTACCCCGATTTCGGAAAAGCGAAGGGACTTACGGTTGAAAAAGTACCCTAATCTATCCCCATTGATCCGAATCACACCCCATTTGACTTTGTATAAAAATTGACATTCCAACCCTCATAAGGGTGTGTATGTGGGCGGCAAAGGGTGTTGAGGGTTGACGAGGGGGTTGGATTCATTTTCGGTAGTCTTCTTTGTTTTAAGCGGCCTAGAAAATGTAGGCATTCACAACCCACTCGACTTTGTATGAAAATTGACTCTAATAAAAACAGCTATACTTTCGAACACAAACAGTCCACCCTGTATAATCATATACAACTGTCCTATGTATTAATTATTTTTCCACGTCTCAATGATAATGAATTTTTTCTATTATTTTGTCATAGAATCTGTCATTAAAAGCTCAAATATTTTATTATTACTGAAATCGATTACGTCCAGTCTTTCTTGTATTCAATAAAAACCTAAGCCCGTAGGAACTATGTAAAGAGTAAAAAAAAATTTAAAAACTTAACGTCCTCTCTGATATATGAGGCAGATATTTATGTATTATCTGCCAGGGAACATCAGGTTAGACAGCATAAATAAATGTGAAAAATAAACAAGATTATAGTTTTTTTCTTATAAATGTTTATAATATCCAGTTGGTGGCTGTGAATTCAGAAAAAGTAATTTATTTTGATAAAATGTTGTTCTCGCCGTAGTCTATAAATCTCCCCTGAGAAAATGCTCATATGCCTGTCTGTGTTCTACCATAATGTCCGCTCAGAACAAAAATTTAACTTTCCGCGAAAGTGGAGATATTTACCACTTAGTACTTGCCAACGGACTCGAGAAACTTTCCTTACTCGTGGCCCACTACTCAAATAGTCCTTTCCAATTCAACTTCTTTATTATACAGAGTGCGACCGAAATGATTGACTAATCCTCAATCGTGGATAATACAAATGATAAGAATAAGTTCGTATATATGTACGGAGTGGCCCATTTCAAATCTGAACACACTGACAAAAATTGTATCTACTACTAATCGACCGACCGGTTTTTTTATCAAGGCTTGCCATCAGAAAAACTGTATTAGTGATTTTTTACACAAAATCTCTGTAATCGGTGCTGTCTTAAATGGGTATGAACCAAATTTAAAAAAAAAAATACGAAATTTTAACATTTATGCACATAGATTTATTAACAAAATATTATTTCAAATTAATTATTAAATAATTATGAAAAATAACATAGCCCCACAAAAGAAAGACAAGGCCATGGCATCCATATGGTTTTGGGGTCGCTGAATCCGAATCCGGTGTCCGATTGACACGATTAGCCCTGGTTTAAGATCAATTCAAGGTGAATTGTAGAAAATCAATTGTCAACAAACTAAACCTATGTATGTAATAGTCAGTGATTGGAAAAATATTCGAATTCATGATCTCATTGAATCATAACCCCATGGCGTCATAACCCCGTACCCGGAGGCTTCACTGACGTGTATGGAATAAAATTGGACACGTGGTATAATGTTAATTTCTGCTTATTTAAATTGCTACCTATTTTTCTGGTGACTACCCGAAAATGCAGCCGTTGAGAGAAAGCGTAAATATTTACTTCACAATTGCCTTTAAGGAAATTTTATCAATTAGAAGCATTCGGGGACATAAAACCACTTAGGGTAGTGACTGAAATGACGGCGGCGATAAGCCATGCATAAAACAATCAAAATTAATGTGAAAAATGAAGTACATAACGAAAATAACACCAAACCTCAATTCGTTCGGTTAAATGGGAACAAAACAATTCTAGCGACGTTTTAAAGAGATCGAACGGCGTTTATTTGAGCAGGATAGGCACTAAAATGAAACACTAGCTCTTTACGTCACGGAAAAAAAATTAATTTACATAACAATTTTGATTATGTTTGTTGTACAAATAACGGTTTTTGTTTCAGAAATACCAATGCCATCAACACCCCCCAGAGCTACAGAAATGAAAAGCAATTCAAATAAAGAAAGTAAGTGTGTTATTATTTGCATGTTTACGTATATTAAAAATACATTACTCTACTGTTATGACGTCTCTGTTCTTCTATACCACCTACATGTTTGTTATTTTCAATTTGATTTTAAATTCTTGTACTGGGTAAGTGGTAGTATGAAAGTATTAAAAACAATTGCCTTTCAATAAATTAATATTTGAGATTTACCGTTCAATGACTCCAGTATACTTTTTTTTAATATTTATTTTGTACGTTTTTACTTTTTGCAGCAAAAATGCCGTAAGCCTACTTACAATTATGTAATATAATAACCCAAACAAATCCTGTGAAGTTTCGCACAAATACTGCACCAATTTAGATTTAATACACTCCTAGAAGCAAAATCAACATATGTACAGAACTTTTTAGATACAAACGATCATGAATAAAGCGCATTCTTTATTTGTTAAAATATAGTCATATTATTAAAACCCACACTTATTGTTTACGAATTAGTTGATGACTTGAGTAGTGACATTGGATGTTATATGTATTCCGAGTATAATTCAGTCCCAATACGATCCCATAAATGCAAAGAAAATGACATTTATACTCCATCAATACAGTTCTCTAAATGAAAACCAAATAAAGATATGATTTCAAACATATTTTAATACTAGTGGTCGCTTGCTGACATTTAAGGTACGATACCTCAAACCATGTGAATATGAGGATTATATAGACATGACACATATATCGGTTACTACAAGAAGGGAAAATGAAAAGGCCTTAAAGTTATAATATTTTTGGAATTATTTAAGCATGTTACAACCGATCTATAAAGATGTTGAAACAGGTATTAATTAAAGTCAAACAAATTAGTTAAAAAACTCTATTTCTCGTGTCCCCCGTTTTGTAAAGCGAGAAGTGATAAATTGTATTTTGTTATGTTAATTGGAAAAGGTAAATATCCTCTTAAGAACATTGAAGGTTAGAGTAAAAGGGTGGAAATTACAGAATTAATATGCACATTAAGCTTGTTCCTCTGTTATCTTTGTGGTCTCATTGGCCTCATCAAATGAAACCTCTTCCAAGTAAAAACTGAACAAGTGACTTTGTTTTCATTACCGAAGCAATTCTCCGTGAAATATAGCGAATATTGTATAAAAAATTGTATGTATAGAAACTCTTTAAAAATAGAAGTTAAAATTTTGTTATTAATCTGCGTTTCTACGATTTAGCCTTACTATCACGTATTAAACGTAAAATAAATATTTTGCTGACCAGTGCGTAAAGCAAATATTTTGAACACTAATGCGTAATGTAAATATTTCGCACACTAGAGCGTAATGTAAATATTTCGCGTGCTAGTGCGTAAAGTAAATATTTTACACAGTAGTACGTAAAAGAAATATTTCGCACGCTTGTGCGTAATGTAAATATTTTGCACAGTAAAGCGTAAAATAAATATTGTACACAGTAGCGGGTAAAGTAACTATTGTGCATACTAGTGCATAAAGTAAATATATTGCACACTAGTGCGTAAAGTATTTACATTTCGTACTCTAGTGTGTAATGTAAATATTTCGCACGCCAATGCGTAATGAAAATATTTCGCGTAAATATTTCGCACACTAGTGAGTAAAGTAAATATTTTGCACACTAATGCGTACTGTAAATATTTTGCGCAGTAAAGCGTAGAATAAAAATTGTGTACAGTAGCGATTAAAGTATTGTGCATACTAGTGCATAAAGTAAACATCTTGCACACTAGTGCGTAATGCAAATATTTTGCACACTAGTGCGTAAAACATATTTTTCACGATTATTGCAAACATTAAATTGTTAATATTTTAGTTATCACGGTGATAGATGGCCAACGATCGGCACAATCTTCCTAACTGTCAAACTGACTATAATAATTTAATAATACTAATTTATTAAGGAACAAGTATGTAACTTAAACCTGAAATATTTATATCTAATTTAATTAATATAATATTGTTCGCTGCGTTATTTCATTTTGCGACTTTATGCGTCAAATGAAGCACTTTACGCACTGGTGCATAATGTACAATTGAATTATAGGATTTATTCCATTGTTTCTCAAAAAGTAGTCCAATGGCAAAGTTATTCACGCCTCAAAAAGGTCAGCATTTTATCTCATTTCCCACGCGAAAAGGCGGGATTTTAACATTTTAAATGTGAAGTACCTAGGGGTAAAAGATATGTCTTGATGAGGTTCTGTTTGCACAGGCCACTGTCCCCTGCCATACATAAAAGAGCAGCTTTGTCGAGAAGCAATGGCAAAATATACAAATCAACTCTCTAAAATGTAATTGAGACTTTAAAATACACACGGACCGCCGGATTTATTGCATTTAAATTTTTAATCCGGTGAAGCTAATTTTATAACATTTTTTCTTGGCAACTGCCGTAAAGTCTTTACATAATGTCATAATTACTTTTCAGTACCAACAACAGCCAATAATAGTGACTAAGAATATATATTTTTTTGTATAAAAATTTTTGACAATCCTGAAAAATATAGACTCTATTGAAACCTATATTTATATTATCCAGTACGAAATAGAATAGAACCGTGTTTTTCCTCAACGAAGCACTGAAAATTTAAACAAGCTTTGTGTTATTGCACACTATAATTCATTGACTGTGATAAACCATTAAAATGATACATATAGTTTCATGCCTAACTATAAAATTGACCTAATAATGAAAATTTATAATGAATTTTATTTATGACTTCCCAATATGAACTCTATTATGACGGTAATTTTGCTATTTTGTTTGTTAATTGCGTGCCATTTCTGGTTTTGTGTAAAAGTCAGATAATTGATATTGATCAAACCGTGACCCAATTAACTAAAAATAACTACGAGTTATACCGGTCCACAAAAAACAGTAGAAATTAGATTAGACCAAAATTTAAATTTAGGTATTTCTGTTCCAAAATGCTCCATTAGAATAGGGTTGCTCCCAATTTTTTATATAATTTTTTATATAAGCTGCGTAAAATATTTAACGTACATTTCGCTTTGTTTTGTTTTTTATCGTTTGTCTTACTTCGCGTAGAAAGAAATTAAAATGAACAGTTAATTTGTTTCTACTCTACCTTGCGTAAAATACACACTCTACGCACGCTACCACATTAATGCGTAAAGTACATACACTAGTGCAAAAACAGACTTTTCATATTTTAACTTGCACATTGAGAGTATTGATAGTACTAATCTAATAAAATTAAATTGTAAAGTATATAAAAAAAATATGGGTTCGGTCATGGATCAGTCTAGTTAGTATTTTGACCCGGATCAGTCTAGTTAGTATTTTGACCCGAATCAGTTCGTGATTTGATCCTAACAACAAAATACCCCTAGAAGTTTTAGAGATTTAAGACTGACTTTAGTAGCCAGTAGTAGCTTGAGGGTCTCATTGTACCACAATTCCATAACCCCGTGGCTTCATAATACGTAACCCCATAACCCCGTAACCTTATATGCAAGAGCCAAGAACCATGAAATTCTGGGAACGTGGATCTTATATGTCTATCAGGACCCAAAATTACATGACTATGGGTTGGTAGGCTTCCCTAACCCCATAACCCCACAACCCCTTAACCCGGGGTTCCTGTATCGCCGCTTTCGAGATTTCAAATCGACTTGAATAGTCAGGATTGGAAAAACATTGGAATTCATGATCTTTTTCCACCATAACCCATAACCCTATAACCCTGTAACGCATTATTTGAATGATTTGGTCGATTTGGTCGCGATACGAGGTCTTTTCAGAATATAACCGATCTTTTTGGATTACGCGCTAATGTTACGAAAGGATTTCACTATCCCACGTTGAGAAAGTCAAAGGTCTGGTGCATGCAAATCGCCAATTGACTGTCAGAAAAATTTCAGAAGAGGAGGATCTCAATTGGTCATGCCAAGAAATTTTGACTGAAACATTGAACATACATGCAGTTGCAGCAAAATTTGTTCCTCGTTTGGTGACCAACGAACATTCAATTATTTTCCAACGACTACTTGATCTTTCTAGCCAACTGTTACGTTAATGAAGTTTTAAAAAATAAAGTTCGGTTTTAATTGTCAGTGTTGCGAGAAACAACTACTCCGAGGGCTATTTGCCCCTACCGGCATTGAATTATACTCGCAACACCTAGTGCAACAGCTAGGGTCGTTCGTCAGTTTAACCCACCATACACAGTTGGGAGTCAGCACGACAGATGGAGCCATTTGCGCTCCCGCGTACAACATAAAGTTCGGTTGTTTCCTGAACAGACCCCGTCTTGTGCGCATGTGTGGGCAGAGCTATCTCAGATGAAAACTTATCGAAACATTTCACCGTATTTTATATATTTGTGTTAATCTGTGAACTGAAAGAATATAAATTCAACCGATGTCAGATGAAAAATCGAAATCAAAAGTAACGGCGGCGGCGGTATAACGGCGGTATAACCGAATTGCATTGTCGCATGAAATGATAATCATTTACAGGCGCGACGGGCACTGAGCGTGTGCTAGTTTTTAAATAAATCTGAGCGTTGTTTGCAGCCTTACTGAATACCTGTTATACAGCGCAACAAATGTTTGTTAATGCATGAAAACGAGTGTCCGTACGGAAGTTGATCGGGCGCCATATGGAACGTGTGACGAATATTTTTTTGTTTATTTTGCGTAAATAAAGAATACAACCGCCGAAAAAACAGTTGAAAACAAACAAAACGGTACGTCGCTTGTTGAATAATTTTTCAGTAAAACACGAAATTACGAAAATTCGCAGTAATCCAGTAGAAAATTTGTGTACAGCGTGTTCTTCTTAATACAAATCAAATAAAACAGCACTCGTAAAAATTTTATATCGAGAGATCCAGAATGATTAGTGGCGCCGCTACTTGCAAATACTTTGTGTGCCGCTCTCCTATTATTTTCGGTCTTCATAGTTGGCAACAATGACAGTAATTTACTTCGTTCAGTGGCGGGTTAGATGAAGTGGCAACAGGGTCA